CCCCACTATCCCCATCGCCCCCTCAGCTCCATCATCTCGATCAACCCCATTGTCCCCTCATCTCCATCAACCCCATTGTCCCCTCATCTCCATCAACCCCATTGTCCCCTCATCTCCATCAACCCCATTGTCCCATCATCTCCATCAACCCCATTGTCCCCTCATCTCCATCAACCCCATTGTCCCCTCATCTCCAACAACCCCATTGTCCCATCATCTCCATCAACCCCACTGTCCCATCATCTCCATCAACCCCATTGTTCCACCATCTCCATCAACCCCTTTGTCCACTCATCTCCATCAACCCCATTGCTCCCCCACTTCTCCCCCCACCCCCACCCCCGTCCCCATGTCCTCACCTTGTCCTCCTCCCGCACCACGTACTGGGCCACCTTGAAGGAGCTGAGATACTCGTTCATGTTCTGCACGTCGGCGTCATCGGTGGCGTCCTGGTTGCGGTCCAGGAGCCGCGCGATGGCCTCGTTGTCGTAGTGGATGACGCTGCTGTCCTCCTCCTTGTTGTCCCCTGCGCGGTGGCACGCGGCTCACGGCGCATGGCCTGGACCAGCATGGCCTTGGCATGGGCCAACGTGGGCCAACATGGCCTTGGCATGGCCCAACATGGCCTTGACATGGCCCAACATGGCCTCGACATAGGCCAACATGGCCCAATGTGGTCTTGGCATGGGCCAACATGGTCCAATATGGCCCAGGATGGCCTTGGCATGGCCCAACATGGGCCCAGCACGGCCTGGGCATGTTCCAACATGGCCCAATGTGGCCTTGACATAAGCCAACATGACCCAATATGGTCCAATATGGCCCAACATGGCCTTGGCATAGTCTTGGCATGGCCCAACATGGTCCTGGCATAGGCCAACATGGCCCACCATGGCCTTGGCATGCTTCACCATGGCCCACCATGGGCCAACATGGCCTTGGCATGCTCCAACATGGCCCAACAGAGCCTCACACAGCCCAATGTGGCCTCACATGGCCCAACAAGGCCCAATAGGGTGGCTCATATGGTCCCATCATGACCTTGCGTGTCTCACCCTGATCTTCCCTGCCCCAGCATGACCTCACCCTGATCTTCCCTGTCCCACCATGACCTCACCCTGATCTTCCCTGCCCCACCATGACCTCACCCTGATCTTCCCTGTCCCACCATGACCTCACCCTGATCTTCCCTGCCCCACCATGACCTCACCCTGATCTTCCCTGTCCCACCATGACCTCACCCTGATCTTCCCTGCCCCACCATGACCTCACCCTGATCTTCCCTGTCCCACCATGACCTCACCCTGATCTTCCCTGCCCCACCATGACCTCACCCTGATCTTCCCTGTCCCACCATGACCTCACCCTGATCTTCCCTGCCCCACCATGACCTCACCCTGATCTTCCCTGTCCCACCATGACCTCACCCTGATCTTCCCTGCCCCACCATGACCTCACCCTGATCTTCCCTGTCCCACCATGACCTCACCCTGATCTTCCCTGCCCCACCATGACCTCACCCTGATCTTCCCTGTCCCACCATGACCTCACCCTGATCTTCCCTGCCCCACCATGACCTCACCCTGATCTTCCCTGTCCCACCATGACCTCACCCTGATCTTCCCTGCCCCACCATGACCTCACCCTGATCTTCCCTGTCCCACCATGACCTCACCCTGATCTTCCCTGCCCCACCATGACCTCACCATGATCTTCCCTGTCCCACCATGACCTTCCCTGCCCCACCTCAGCTTTCCCCCCCCAACCTCCTGGTGCTCACCCTCATTCTCATCCTTGAAGAGCTCCTCGGTGCCGAACTTGAGGATGTCATCGAGCTCCTGCTTGGACATGGAGCCGGCCTTGGAGCCCAGCCCCGGGCGCACCACGAGGTGCGTGAGCATCATCTTGCGCTTGGCCACCTGCGTGATGCGCTCCTCCACCGACGCGCGCGTCACGAACCGGTAGATCATCACCTTGTTGGCCTGGCCGATGCGGTGAGCGCGGCTGAACGCCTGCGAGGGACAGGGGGACCAGAGGGTGATGGGGGGG